TTCCTGAGTTCTCTTCAAGAATCCAGACAACTGACACTGTTTACTCTGTTGACCCAGGTTGTCATTCAAGGAAGAAGACTGACTTTGGTGGCTGCCAGCTAATCAGCAATTTTCTATTTCAAACAACAAGAAGTGGAAAACACAGTGTGCTATTGCAAACAATCTGTGGTTTTCCTGGCTTACCCTCTTTTCTCCTTCTATTTAAATCCTGTTTTGCCTTTCTTAGATACAATACATTATTGGTTCCACTGGCTTCTTTTGTATACAAGTGAATAATATGGTATTAATAGACTGCTTATTTTTAATAATTCATTGATCCTCCATTCAGGTTTTGTACCTCTTTCAGACCTGTTTTTATAGTTTTGTAACAATTGTGAGGGGTAGCTTTCGAAAATGACATTTCCAATTCATTATTACTATGGCAAAATGGCGCTATCACTGCCTACTTCAGGTTGTTCTGAGGAGTTTGTATAAATCCCTAATAAGTGCTTGGTGCATATTGGACCTTCTCTGAGCTCCCTTGTCCTTTCCACAGAAAGGCAGAAATGATGAAGAGTTTTAGTGTAGACTACCAAAAAGTGATCAGAAAATGTGGAGTTATATAAAATATTTATATGTAAAACAAAGTTTTTTCAAACAGTTCATGACTGGTAGAGTTATAATATGTTAGGTAATTCTTACAAACACAGACAAAAACATTTAAAACCCTCGCAGGGTAACATATATATGCTTTGTAGTGTGTTCTGATTTTTTATTTGTGATATCATATTATATAACTCAAAGTAACAAATGTACTAGTAACCAGATCTAGTCTTCTTGTCTCAGGGTATTTTCCCAAGGAAGAGTTTTGGTAGCCAATCCAAGTTATCCTGTAAAGGAGCCACTGAAATCAAAGACTGAATTGGACTGTATTTCTACTTGTGAAATACCTGGCTCCTTCAATGTCACTGCAGAATTTTCTTTGCATAAAATCAGTTAATAAAAAATATGGTGGTATCCAATAAGGCTTTATGGAGCCATAAGCAGCTTTGAGCACGTGTGCACTTGCAAATAAATGTTAGTTTCTTCTTCTCTTTATTCCTCAAACACTTATGAGGAACAAATAGATCAAACTTTTGTTTTGGGAAAAGGTAGTTCTGTAAAGAGTACTGAATGAATTCAGGAGGGCAGATGCTAATGACAGTACAACAAGTTGAGTCACTTTTCAGTAACATAAATGTTCTCAACACATTGCTACTTCCTTCTATTTATGTCCACTAAATACTCCAAAATAGTAGCCAAGTTAGAAGTATAATCAAGCAAATTAAGTTATTATCTTCAGATGTTATCAGTTACATCCTAACGTTTCCTTTCCCTCGGCAGGGTTTGGGAGGAGGCTAATGAACACCTTGAGAACATATGGAAATAGTTATATTCTGTTTTACATAAGTGTATGTGTGCTGGTTGAACTAATTTTTCAGTTCACAGAAAGAATACCTGCCCCCACCAGTCCCCCCTGCCTCAACAAACCAAGGGAGAAAAAAAAATTGAAAGCAGAACCATTCTTAATAAATTGCAATTTTTGTTTTAGTTAAACTTCAGAGAATTACTGACTTGACCTAGAAAACAAACTATCTTCTCACACATAGTCATTAAAGACCAGCATTTCAGGATTCCCTTCCAAAAGCTAACCTTTATTCCTCAAGGGAACCTCTACTTTACTAGTCATTAAAAGGACCACTCTACCCTCAAATGGAACAAATATTTAAATAACTTTTCTTTTCTACCAATGTAAAATAGCGGCTTCAAAAATGGCTTTGTGAACTATAAAGCTACTGGCAAATGAGGTTTGCACTAATTACATACTGAAGAAAATCCCAGTCTGTAATGAATTTCATGTTAATTATTATCCTGATTTCGTATCCAGCTGACAACCAAAACAATGTGATCTGATTCTTCACTATTCCAAGAATGAATAACATCCTTTGAGAAGCATCCTATTTCTGCAAACAATGCAAATCATACACACTCAGAGTTTCAGGCAATAATTAGAAGTTTAGTTGCCCACTGTGGGTTCTAGACAAACAGTTCACTTAGATCGCTTTTCACAGTGTGGTGAATGGAATTAAACCTCTGAGAGGAAGCTAACTAGAGAAATTTGCTAATGCAATGTAAAAGTTAATTCATGCCAAAGGACCCTCATTGAGAAGGAGTTGAAGAAGTGTCACTTAAAAGTCAAACATGGCCCCCCAAAATTAAGCTTTGAAGTTAAAGGTTTTCACAAATAAGTTAGCCTGTTAGGGTTTTTAAAGTATATAAAAGAACAAAGAAAGGGTATGAAGAAAAAAAATTAAAGACCTAAAAAGAGGATAACAATAATTTTACCCAAAAGTGTGACAAGATGTTTCCTACAGTTAAGATTCCCTTGTCCAAAATGTTATACGTATTGGGGATAAATTTGTTACTTCCACAGCAATAAATTTCCTGTGGGCAAACATCCCTGAATTCACATTTTTTATTACAAACCTATATACTCATTTGAAAGGACATCATGGAGATAAACCCAAATATTCTTTCATCGCCTCATAAAAAATAACTGAAGTCATTCATACCATTCTACTTTGCATTTAGATGGAGTTCCACATTTCGTTCATAGTCTATGATGGAATTCTCACAGTGTTTTCAACATAAAATGCTAACAACAGAGTAATAGAGAATAACCATGGTGGGTTTTCTTCATCAACAAACACTTAACACAACTGAGCATTTATCATATTCAAATGCAGGACCAGATGTTAGGGAGGTGAGAATCAACATGGAAGCCCGCCTCAAGGAGCAGAACTACTAATCCAGTAGGGAGAGTGAAATAGTGTATAAATGTTTAGGATACCAAGGAGGACTTACCTGAAAGCAGACAGAGTTGTATAAATCAGATTATGTTGCTCGACTATCTTTCCTGTCTCGCCTACCAGCGTTTGGCAAGTGTTTACTGTGACCTATACCAGGAATGTTTTTTTCATGATGATTCTCCCATTCTGCTGAAGAGCCTCCTCTCAATAGAGCAGAAGCTCATAAATAAGGGGCACAAAAGGAATTTCCACTTTTCTGGCTGTTAATACAAGTAGTAACTCATGTTTAAACTCTTCCCCTTACACAAATACACAGATGATAGTGATTCATCTTGTAATGTCTTTTTAGAAAATAAAGTTACACTTTAAAAGTTTTTTATCTTGTGGACCAGACAACGTGCTCAGAGAGACACACCTTCCATGGAAATTGTTAGAATTTCACAAACTTATTAGGAGGCTGAATTAGCTTCTGTTATTTAGGAAGCTTGGATCTTTTCGTTTCCCTCCCATTTTCTTGTATGACCCCAGTTCTGACTGCGTTGGTAGGTAATTCTCTTGCACATTGAATGTGTCCACCCACTCAATTACCTGTGACCTCAGCAGGTTTTATGAAATTCTACAGCATACAGTTTTTATGATGATGTAAATCAATGTCAAATCATGTAATACTGCTCATGACACCTTTCAATGCTTGCAAGTGACAAAAATTGTTTTTAGTGGCACCACTATAACAATTCCATTATGTTCATAATTAGTTCATAATATTCAATTTCCTTTATGGTATAAATTATGTAATAATTAGACTTGCTGATGAAGTTTGCATGATGTATCCACATAACAGCACTTTTCGGACTTCGAATAAACCAAATCCAAAATGTGCTAACATATTTCAGGTTTGTATACCATCAAACAAGACAAAATCAAAATACAACTGCAAGAGTGTGTTCACAGGAAGCAGGAAAAAAAAATTTAAGTGGCAGTGTGTGTGCCATAGATCACACACACACACACACACACACACACACACACACACACACACAAAGCCTTGAGCAAACAAAAAGTTTAAAAGGCAGGCTCTGCATATTCAGAGTTTATTGAGAAAAAAATATATACACACCATATGAAAATTAATTATAGTATCCTTGGAAACCTTCACTACTGTTCCTGTCCTACTGGGGCAGGCACAAGATCTGACAGGGATGTGACTGTCTGTCAGAGAGAAGATGGAAATAACAAAAACAGTAAGAGGTGGTCTGTGAGAGGCTGCTGAGAAAGCTAATTTACTCTGGAAGAGAAGTTTATGAGACAAACATGCAAAAAGCACTCTCTTGAGAGAGAGCTATAAAGAGGCAGGGTAGAGGAGCTAGAAATTAAGCCACTTACATGTTTGCTTTGAAGGCATTCTAAGGCACTCTTTTCTGTGATCCTACCATTTTATGATTGGACAAGAAATCCCCTGTCTTGTGCATGCAGCATCCTCTACATCCAACATGAGTACTTCTGAGCACAAGGCCATCACCATGAATCCGCGTTTAGAACTTCCACAAGTTACCCATCCAATTCTCACAATAAAGTACAGACCACAAGTCACCATGTGATTGGCAGAGAGGGACCTGCATCTTGACCTCCCCTGTCAACGATACCATTTGTTTTCATTTGAGAGCTCCTTTTCTAGACCTCCCCCCACCCCCGCCACCCAAAAAACACCACCAGAGAAACAAACTTTCATAAAATAAACAGGACTAACACTTTGAAGTAAAAATATCCACAAAGAAGCTAAGATTGGAGGATGGTCGACTTTCCATTGACCCATAAAACAATTTGGGCTTTCCATAGAAATCTCCTTTTTTCCTTCACTCATTTAAATTATTACCATTTAATGCTCAGACTAGCTGGCAAAACATCAGTTATTTTAATGTGCATCCTCCACATGCTGCCGCAAACAAACTTTAATGCTCGAGTGAAATATTTGAAGCTCGCCAGACACAGGAAAGGCAGGAAGCTGCCCCGCAGTCTGCCCACTGCCCTACCACTTGGCTTCCCTTTCCTTCTCATGGATACGAGAAACGCCATACAAACCTCTTCAGGTTTGCTAAAACCAACCATCACCACAAGCCAGAATTAGCAATGAAACGTCTGTGTTTCTAAGAATAATTAGAAGAGACACTGTACCGGGTCTTCAGTTTTGTGACTATTCATGAGGTCAGACAGGAAATCTTCATAAATGCTCTCTCTTCGAACCAGTGGAAATTCCCGCAGGAAAACAGCCCCTTGGTTTTCGTCTCCACATACCTAGAGAGATAAGATAGCCGAATTAAGCCTTCAGACAGAGCCTGGAGGGAGGGGGATCTAGGAATTAATGTCTCCGAGTCATAGAAACCTTTTGGATTCTGTTCAAGTCTGATTAGAGCCATCAAAAACAATGCACACAGATACATATTAATGTGAGAGCTACTAGAACATTCTGGCATGTGGTCCCTTGGATGAATGCCAGGAAAAGTCCCTGCTAAGTTGATGCCTCTTAATTGACTGGTGTCCATGTCAAAATTCAGTGATTATAAGTTATCTTTGTGGCCAGGTCCAGTGTGGTCAGGCTCCTAGGCTATCATTCCCCTGTGTTATCCACATGTTTGTGTCACATAGGGGACCCCCAGAGATCTACCACTAGTGCCATAGAAGTGAGTCCCATAGATCTGAGCATCAGATGGATCCTGATGTCCTGTTAAATATCTAGGACAGGAGGAACTGCTTAAGCCCAGGACTGACTTCCTGAGTTATTCAAATGCTTTAGAACCAGATGTACTTTAGCCACTCTGGAGGGAGGTATTGGAGAACTTTTATCTAGAGCTTATCACATACCAGGTTCTTTACATGTGTTATCTTGCACCAACCCCAGGAGGTGTCAGTTATTAGCCACACTTTACAAATTAGGAACAGGAGGCACAAAGGGTTTCAGGAATGTGCCAAGTTAGTAAGTGTTGAAATTAGCACTCAAACACAGATCTGACTCTAAACCCCATTCCATTTTATTATGTCATTTTGCTACTGAGCTACTCAAACCTCTGGTGAAGGACAAAGCCTTAAGTGACTCCTATAAACTCAAGGAATAAGGCCTTCTACTGCCTCTCTGAGCCTCAGTTTACTCACCATAAAATAGGAATGGTATCAGCATTACTACATTGCTGAGAAAGTAGGGGATAACATATGTAAAGCCCATAGTGCAGTGACTTGCATATAGGAAGCATTCAATAAATAATAGCCATTATTATCAACAAAAGCACATTCTGCCCAAGGAACAAGTGAAAATCTAAGCTGTTAACATACATGGAGTTCTTCGATCATATTTATATTTGCAATGAACATTACAAATGGGTATTATATGACCTTCGCATTATCTTCATATTGTTTGAACTTTTCAACTTTTATACATTTTGAATTTTATAGTTTTTTTAGGGTACTGGTAATATCAGTAATAACTACGGGAGTGTTCATATTAATTTATACTGTCATGCAAGTCTGAAATAATTCATAATAGATTAAAATCATTTTAAACCCTGAGTCTTTTGGGAAGGAGTATAATTTTTTATAACTTATATGTAAATGGCTTCTGTTGATATACAGTACAGTCGGTATCATTGTGATAGACAGACATTGGGCCCTTTTACTTCCTTACTTAGGGTCATATTGGTGAACATATTGCTTAACATGGCAAAAGGGACTTTGCAGATATAATTACGTTTACTTAATTGTTGACTTCAAGATAGGGTTGGTATCCTGGGTTATCCAAGTAGGCCCAATGTAATCACACGTGGTCTCAAAAGCAGAGATTTCAATGGGGTGAGGGCAGAAGAGGAATTCAGAGAATTTCAAAAGCTGACACGGACTTGACGTGCTGTTACTAACTTGAAGATGGAGGAAGACACGTGAGAAGCATGAGAAGGAAATAAATTCTGCCAATGGGTGAGTTTGGAAGAGGACCTGAGCCCTAGGTAAGAACTACATCTTAGGCCAATACCTTGATTTTAGCCTAATGAAACTCTAAACAGAGAATCCAGCCATGCCCTGCTAGACTTTTAACCTACAGAAACTGTGAGATAGCATTTTTATATTGTTCTGAGCTATCACATCTGTGGTAATTATGGCAGCAACAGAAAACTGATACAATCATCAAGAGGTAGGGTGCAGTGAGAGGTTTTCTTGTTTCTTCTCCTACATTAAGTTTCTTAAGAATTAACCAGCACTAAACAAGCAGAGGTAGAATTTGCAATAACTAATACTTGGAAATGTATCCTTCTAGCTAACCTAACTTATTTCTGTTACATTTAAAATTAATTTTCTCTTAGTTCTTTCTCATCAAGGTCAATCATTCCTTGAGTCTACAGTTAATATACCTCAAAACCTGTCTTGACCATGTTACTTCCCAGCTCAGTAGCTTTCAGGGATTCCCTACTTCCTGCTGCATACACACTCTGGGCTTGGTATTCAGAACCACTCACAGCTCTTCAAGTTGTAGAAAACGAATAGCACCTCTCTGAAAAAGATCAAGAGCTGAGTTTAAAATGGCCTAGAATGAACAAACTGATGGTTGCTAGATGGGAGGAGGGTTTGAGGGACACGGAGGAAAAAGGTGAGGCATTAAGAAATACAAATTGGTAGTTACAAAATAGTCATAGTATAAAGTACAGCATAGGGAATGTAGTCAATAATATTGGAATGACTATGTATGGTGTCAGGTAGATGCTGGACTTACCAGAGAGATCACTTCATAAGTTATATAAATGTCTAACCATTATGCTGTATACCTGACACTAATAAAATATTGAATGTCAACTCTAATTGAAAAATTTAAAAAAATAATAAAGTGACCTAGAATTGATGGGCTTTAACTTTGTTTTCAAGAGGACTAATGTATGCTGATCACTACTGAATCTCACGTTTTATGAACAATTTCTCTGAAAATCCTATGCTATTTTGAATTCTAACTCTATTATTCAAAATGGTGGCCATCTTTAGTCATTCAATGCCAGAGTTCTTAAAAACTAAAGTCTGAAGAGTAGACTAATAAACTTAGTGTATTTTCTTTGTGAAGGCTTTTGTGCCTGTGGGAAACTTCTTTTGTTAAACTGACTAAAGAAATAGACAAAAATGACGCAAATATTCTCCAGAAGAAAAAGATGTCAACTATAATAACTAAATGCTCCTGACAATGAAGGATGATCAGCAAACACTCTGTCCATTTGGTTTATACTTTAATTCTCAATCACAACCATGTATTTGTTTAAAAACGAGTTTCTGCCTGTTTGTATTTCCCAAGAAAGATGACATTTTATAAGTCCCACAATTCTCACAAAAATGCTCAACTTATCAAATACTTTTATGTGATATCAAGGCAGAAGGTCTTAATTAAACTAAAATTCAATTTAATCCTGAGACCAGATAAGAATGTGAAAGTTAAATGAATGTAATTATAACCATTTTGTCCCTATAGACATCTTGTGCATGTCTGTTTCTAATTTAACTTCTCCATGAACAGTATTACTAATTGGCCAATTTAAAATACCCAAATCACTTTGGTCAATATTAAGTTAGTTTTGAATATCTGTATCTATCAATCATGGATAATAATATTTTGCATGTTTTAGAAACACAGTTACAATGAATGAGATATCAAGATACATAAATATACAAATCTTATACTTCTATTTCAAGCTGTTTTTAAAATTTATTATTTAAATCCAAAGTAGTATTTTTACTCATTTATTCTTTTATTCATTCCTATGTACACACATTTACTCAATTCCTATAAATGGCCAGGAACTTCACTAATGGACATATTCTAGATGCTAAAAGCCACCATCTTCTCATCATTTTGGTACACAAGCCTCCTCTCCAGTTGTGTTCAAGACTGAGTATTAGCTGCTGGAAGTAATGGGTGCTACTACCAGGCCTGGTCCATAAAAATCTCCCACATCCTCTCCCCCATTCTCTTTTGTCCCCAGATTGGTTTGGAAAGGAGACAAGTTAAAGGTGGCAGAGGCTCTATTAGCCATGCTCCCTGAATGATTGCATGAAGGAAGGCCACCCTATGACCTATTCACTTACCTAATACTGTTAAGTGATCAAGAATAGTCTACTGTGTTTGAACTATTACCCATTTTAGAGACTATTTGTAACTGTGGTTAAAATATCTTAATTAAGACAATGAAAGAATTTAGGTGAGCACAGAATGCTACAGGAATACACAGCAAGGGTGATTACCTCTCCCAGGAAGGATTATGGAAGACTTTAAAGTGGTGTTAAAGAAAGAGTGGATTTACCCACTGGACAAGGAGAATAGGAGTGAGGAAGAAAAGATTCCTGTTCCAGGAAGAGGGAACAGCCTGGGTAAAGGCATGGAGGCTTAAGACACCTTGTTTTGGTGACTTTTAAGCAGTCTAAAATGGCAAGAGTGTGGAGTACATGAGAACAAGTGATGGGAACTGGATTTGTATAGTGGGCAGGGGCCAAATTGTGAATCATGGTCACTGAAAGACTAAGCCAGAGCCTTGAATGGACTTGTAAGTTTGAAAGAGTATTCTGATGGTAAACTTGGACACGAGGTTTTCAGATTATTTCAATTATTCAGATAAGAACTTCTGAAGACCCTAAAGCTGACTGGGAAAGAAAGGATCATAAGATATGGTGGCCACCTGAATGTAGAGTATAAGTCTCAGGCTATAAGTACATTTTCTGCCTGGGTTTGAATAAAGAGCAGAGTGGATAGTACTACCTTCAACAAAATAGGAAATATTGGAGGAGAAATGATATGGGTTAGAGGAGGAGCTCAGTTCCAGGAAAAGTAGAGTCTGAAGTGTCTTGGGCAGAGAAAGGTGAGTTTCATGCACAGGAAAGAGACTGGTATGAAGATAATATGTAAGTGCTGACATCATATGGGAAGTAGATGATACTTGGAATGAATACACTTGCCGAGGGAAAGAAAGAAGAATGAGAAGACAGGAGAGCTGAGGTAATAACCCTGGGGAGCACTGATATTGAACATGTAACATGGATCCATGTCTAATGGCCCATTTATGCCGACCGAAAATATCAACAAGGAAAACCCAGATTTATACTGATTTTCACCATCCTTAGTCTTCCTTTTATTCGTTGTCTATGAAAATACATTTATGACAGTATTACATCAAATTTATTACAATTAATTTCTTGAGGACAGAGATCATGGCTCATCAGGCTATCAACACCCAGACTCTGAATTCAACGAAACTTTGACTAAAACTTGAAAATTTCCAGGA